GAAAACTACGTCTAACGATATAAGTATGGTAGATACTTGTACACCTCAGACTAGAAACAGATAACCAACCATCAACTTTTAGGGAAAATATAGGATTTTCATGGGATAACTTAACCTTTCATAAACGGACTGCTTAACAAATAACTAATGGATAATCAAACATCTTTCATAAGAAAATATAGGATTTTCTTGAGAAACACTTTTCAAAAGATCAAGAAAACATTTTTCACCAGAACTAAATACTTATGAACTCACCAGCTTTATGCTGATACTCTTTCAAACTGCTTGTATTCTCAGGGCAGCAATAGACAGGTACTTTTATCAACTTTTGGAGAAGACGGAGCATTTAGAGTCACGTCTTTTACTTTTGCTATATACTCTTATGTACAAAGTATGTTTTCAAACATATGTAAATAATCATATTGTAATGTAATGGTTGTGTTCACTTTGCTTACTATGATACAACTGTTGTGATACTACGCATGACGTCACCCACCTCCGAACGTTTCCGCCGTTATTTCTGACGCTTCGGGGGTGTGACAGATTGGTATCAGAGCCCTTGTTTTGAAAGATTTAAATTGTTGAAATTTTTGTGATGTTACATAGCGTATGATTATTCATATATTCATTGTTGAATGACAACATAAAGTTGTATATACAAAATCATTGCGGAATAATAATATAAAAACATTGTTCTCAGGTTCTCACTTTATTTAGTATTTTTATTTAAACCATCAATATATATATATATATATATATATATATATATATATATATATATAGGAACCAATCTTTTTTTCAACTTTTAGAACTTATTTTTTATCAAAAAAAAACTAAAAATACAGAAATTCATAACTTTTTATCCTTTTTCCAATGATATCAAATTCGAATTTTTTTTTACGTCAAATTCACAATGTGAATCTTTGAAAATTCACAATGTGAATCCGGATTCACGAAGGTGAATCCGAAAAATATTTTTCACATTCACAATGTTTGCAACTTTACGTGATAAACATGCCTTAGAAGCTTGGATCTGTAATCTGGAACTTTGGCATGGCTTAAAAAGTGTCTGCATGGATGAAGGTCTGCAAGGACTCGGCGAGTTGCATAGTCAACTCAGCGAGTCATATGAAGATGGTCATGAACTCGTCGAGTTGATGAACAAACTCGGCGAGTCCGTTGAAGATTGCCTTGAACTCGACGAGTCGTTCGAAGACTCGGCGAGTCGGCTAGGGTTTCTCCCAATTCTTGGACACGTATGAACTCGGCGAGTTAAAAGGGAACTCGACGAGCCAATCAAGGATTTCACGACTTCTCGAGTTCAGGAAGGACTCGACGAGTCGGTGAACTACACTCGACGAGTCGAGTCAACATGGACTGTGGACTTTGACTTTGACCAAGAGTTGACCAGTTGACTTCTGAGGGTATTCTGGTAATTTGGAGATTTATGAAAAGGGTGTTATGGTAACTATAGGTGGTGGAGTTCGTGTTGGTGATCCGGGAGTTGAGCTTTCTAGTTTCAGACGACAGTTGCAAGGTGAGTTATCCTCACTATACTAAGGGGTCTAAGGCACCAAGGCCGGCCCATTGGATATGTTATCCTAGCAGTGGTTATGTCGAGTATGAATTAGCGTTGCATGCTAGTGGTTATGTTAGTTAGGTAGATCTGTAGGACTACATGTGTTGTTATATGAATATTTGCATGCTCAGTAGTTATGTTATATGTTGATATGTTACGTGGGATGGGTTGAGGTGATACTGCTCCGTTTGGTAACCAACAAACCCGGGAGTATTCCAGATATGAGCTGAGGGCCCGGTTGGCATTCCAGACTCATACTGAGGACTCGGGAGCATTCCAGATACGAGCTGAGGGCCCAGTAGGCATTCCAGACTCGTACTGAGGGCTCGATGGTATTCCAGATACGAGCTGAGGGCCCGGTAGGTATTCCAGACTCGTACTGATGGCCCAGGGGTAATCCAGCTTGTAAAGCTATGGACCCATTGCATGTTGTTCCGTTTGTTATGATATGTTTATGTGGACTGTATGTGTATCTGTATTTTGGGGGAACTCACTAAGCTCTCGGGCTTACAGTTTTAGTTTATTGTTTCAGGTACATCAGGGGATCGCGGCAAGGCGAAGGCGTAATCGTACAGCTCCTCATGTTTTGTCTATGTTTCTGGGAAAACTCTGATATTATACATTTTGAAAACAAAGTTGTAATGATTTTTAATGGTTTGAAATGTTTTTAAAAGTTTAAATTGGTTTGAAGTTTTGGGTGTTACAGGTATATATGCTTAGGTACCCAAATTCACCATATCACGTTGTTTTGTATCATATAATACATTCTAATTGTCCAATGTTCTTATAATTTAACTTCTAACTTGATTTACTTCCATTATTTTTATAAATTACACATTTATCTTCCTCTTACAGAATTTTCATTTTCAACTACAATATATATAGCCTAGTAGGTGGTCGGCAAAAAGATATGATGTAAGAGGAAGATAATAGTGAAATTTCGAAAATCTTGAAATTAATCAAGTTAAGGGTTGAAGTTTAAGAACATTATAATGAATATATCAAATAAAACGACGTAGTATGGTGTGTTTGGGTACCTAAGCTTATATACTCTTAAGGGTATATTCACTTTTCTCATATATATATATATATATAGGGTAAATAGCATAAAAAAAACATTCCGTTTACACCAAAATTCTAATTTGACACCGTGTTTTTTTTGTCTCAAATTTGACACTGTGATTTCGAATTTGTTACAATTCTGACCACTTGACCGGTTAACCAGGTTACATGCTGACGTGGCATGATGACGTGTCAGTTTTGATGATGTGGCATGCTGACATGATATGCTGACGTGTCAAAATTGAATTTTTTTTCCACAAAAAACACTAAGTTTTCATTTTTTTTCGATTTTGACACTAAGTTTAATTTTTTCTTTCAATTTTGACACTATGTTTTTTTGTTTCAAATCGAACATCATTTATCAATTTTTGTTCAATTTTGACCATTTTCCATTTCAATTAAAAACCATAGTTTTGTATAAATACAAGTTTTTTTTTTGTACATTCAAACCATAATTTTATGTATAAATATGTATTATTTATATAAAAACCATATTTTATATTAAATACGCAACTTTAAAATGAGTTTATAGGTTTGGAGGCGTGTAGTCGATTAAAACTCGGATGTCAAGTTTGCAACCCCTGAAATTTTCACATCTTATTAGAAGCTTATGGTTAGTTTGATTCTCATGATATAACTAATGCATATTTATACATTATACTTTGAATGTAAAAAAAAAAAAAAAACACACACCTTGTATTTAAATAAAAATGTGGTTTTTAAACAAAAAAATTATATTTATACGGTTTAAAATGTAATAAAAAAATATATTTATACGGTTTCAAATGGAAAATAGTCAAAATTGAACAAAATTAGAAAAAATGATGTTCGATTTGGAACAAAAAAACAGTGTCAAAATTGAAAGAAAAAATTAAACTTAGTGTCAAAATCGAAAAAAAGTGAAAACTTAGTGTCACAATGTTAATATATGAATTTAGATATTTCTAGATTTTTTTTTCGATAAATAATAAGCTTTAGAAATTGAAAAAAATATTTGGTTCCTTGAAAAACCAATAATTATGGTTGTCTATTGAACTTTTTCCCATATATATATATATATATATATATATATATATATATATATATATATATATATATATATATATATATATATATATATATATATATATATATAAAGTTTTGAAAGTCTAAATATTTTGGTTCTATGTATTTCCAATCCAAACCGATCCCACATTTTGTTACCTTTTGAATAGACAATTTTCAACAATGACACCTTACCACCCACTAAAGTTAAAAATAATAATCTTAAATGGATATCTCGTCAATATGTGGTCTTATTGGCTTAAAGTTTATGACTTAAATAAGTTGATTTTTAAAACTAAGAACTTCATTGTTTATTTGGATACTGAAGAAATTAAAAAATCGTATTAGCAATATAAGAATAATATTATAAACAATTAAACATGTTTTAAATCCTCTTTTGCTAATCCCGACAAAAATTAAGGTTATAAAAATACATTTCTAATGCTATTTTGTTATTGTTATATAAACTTGAATGAGCTTTTTTTTAATGTGATCTTTTTATCGTATTGGCGTGGGTGTAAAGATACCTTCCACTAATATTATAATTCCGTAAAGTACTAATATAAAACAATTCCTTAAAGTATTCTCTTAATAAAGTATGGAAAGACAGAGTATTATATGAGTGTCCTAGTATAAACTTTAAAGTGGCATTTGGATCAAAGGATTTTATTAATTTTGGAATACAATTCATTTCAATCTCTTATTTGGTTAATGTTGTTTGTTAAAGAGATGAGAGGAATTTCAATTCTTAACAATTTAAGAGAACGTTTAGAAAATCATTCCAACTTACCAAATCCCACAAGATATGCTTCATTTTGACTCCCGCCAACTTAAAGACATGTTCTACAACGAGCTTTTAAGAGATTGTAGTTTTCAATTCTTATTTTTTTAAGAAAAAACTCAAATTACAGAAAACTTTATTCAATTGTACAAACTTTTAATTCTTATTTTAAACAAAAAATATACAAAAACTACTTCAATCAACTTTGAAGAGATTTTACGTTTTGGATTTTATGTAATTTCACTTTTATCAAACACACCTAAATCACTAACAAACAAACAAAAAAATTAATAGAAGTAAATAAATAAATAAATAATTTTGGGTGTTACAAGATTCCTCAACTTTCATGAAAAGTTCACCAACAATCTTAGCATCCTATGATTCAACTTACGAAACTAGTCTCAATAAAGAACAAACATGTTTTCTCTTATGTCATTTTCAATGTTTTTGTCTAAATACCCAATACAAAAACAAAAAAAAAAAATAATAAATAAATAAATAAAACAAATAAAACCATTCATACAAGACAAATGACATCGACCATATTATCAAAACCATGAGTCACTTATTAGTTATTACAACTACTTCCTTACATCTAACAACAAGAATATCATATCTATTCAATATCCATTCATCAAATCCAAACCCACAAAACAAAAGACCCAAATCATTTCAAAAATATATACTAAAACAAAAAAAAAAAAAAACTCAATTTTTTTCTTTTCTCATAATAAGGTTGTCCCAAAAGGATTGTTGGTATGAGTGTGGGCCCCGTTATTGACCGGGAATTGACCAAACCCAGAATCGAAAAAAGGGTTCGGTGGGGCCGGGCCCATCATGTGGTTCGGTTGGTACGGACCGAATGGATTCGGGTTAGGGTTAGGCGGGTGGTATTGTGTGAGTTGACCGGGTGGGGCACCAAACGGGTCGGGTGTGTCAAATGGGTTTGGAGCGGGTGAGCCGTAAACGGGTTGTTGTGAGGCTCTATATGCTCCTTCATCGTATAAGCTGTTGAGTGTAAGTGAGTCCAATCCACCAGCCTAATTAATCAAACATAAAAGGAAACAATTAAGGAAGTAGTTGAGGATTCCATCGGAATCGGAATTAGAGATTCCATTCCGTTTGTTTTTAAGAAAGAGTTGAAGAGTTACCAATTGTCTGTCTTGAATTGAAGAGATATTGGTGGAAGGAGTGGTGACTAAAGCAAGTTCCCAACCAGTTGGATCAAAATCTTTTGATTGAAAACCAGATGTTGTAGTAGTAGTAGTATCTACATGGAGAAAAACAAAATGAAAATTATTAAAAAAGGAAATAATAATAATAATTTTTTTTTAAATAAATAAATAAGAAAATTGGTAAAAATTACCAGATGGAACAATGGCAAGAGCCAATGCATTGGTTTCCTCAATAGCCGATCCATTAGGCAATGGATCATCAAAATGCAATCCCTAAACAAATATCATTAAAAAGTAAAAACCATTTAAAATTTCAGAATTAATAAAAAAAAATTAATTACCAATAAATCATCCGGGTCCCGGCTGTTAAAAGTAGGTTGGGGTTTGGGAGGTGGCTCATGAACATGATTTGAAGCTAAAAAGTCATTTATTGGCACTGCTTTAATTTCATCAATTGGTGAAAATGTATTTTCTTCATGTTTATCTTCTTCTTCTTCTTCTTCTGCTTCTGGTTTATATGTCAACATAAGTCTTTCTGGGTATTCCTGAATATATATAAATAAATAACAAAATATTTTTAATTACCAAAATAAATAAAAAAGTTTTTATTAAAAAGCTATTAAAATTTTGACACTCACTAATGTCTGAGTTGGCCCAGAGACCAACCTTGGTGCCTCTCTTATGTACTCTTCCATTGTTGCAAGAAAGGATTGTGGAGGCTGGAAAACAAGATAAAAGAGTATTTCTGTTAAAATTACCAATATACCCTTCTTGAAACTTTTGTCACCATAATAAAACCAGGGGCATTAGAGTTCTGTTAAATAAAAAATCACCAAAATACCACTCTCTCAACTTTTGTCGCCACGAGAAACATCGGGCATTAGAGTTTTGGTCAAATTACCAAAATACCCTTCTTGAAACTTTTGTCACCATAATCAACCAGGGGGAATAAAGTTATGTTACAAATTAAAGAATACCAAAATACCCTTCTCGCAACTTTTGTCGACACGAGAAACAGGGGGCATTAGAGTTTTGGTCAAATTACCAAAATACCCTTGTTAAAATTACCAAAATACCCTTGTTAAAATTACCAAAAAACCCCCCTCGAAACTTGTCACCATAATAAATCCAGGGGAAATAAATTTGTGTTAAAAAAAATAATACCAAAATACCCCTCTCACAACTTTTGACGCCACGAGAAACAGGGGGCATTAGAGTTTTGCTCAAATTACCAAAATACCCTTTTTTAACAAAAAGAAACAAGGGGCATTAGAGTAAACTATACCTCTCTGAGAACAGGAAACTGGAAATTTCTAGCAAGCTCCAATCTTTTGCAGACATCATAAAAATCAGAAAGGCTTCCGGCCTGAATAAATTTAATCAAAAATTAAAATCATGCAATCACAAATTAAAAACTTTTGCAATTAAAAAATGTAAATTTTTTTTTTTAAAGTTACCTGTTGACCTGCTCTTTTATATATATCAAGGGCTTTGATGGCTTCATGTCTTGGCATCTCAAAAAACTAGATAAATAAAGGGAAAAATAAATAAATAAACATCATGGTGATATTTTATTATTTCATAAAAACAGTGACATTTAACTATTTAATTAATTACCTTATCAATAAGATTGATAATTCCATCATTAACAGCACAATAGATTTTAAAACTTTCTTTTAGTACCAAAGCCAGAGCATATTGTATCAAATAATTTCCAACAGCTGCTCCTTCAGGCTGTTAAACACACAAAATAGCAACATACTTTTTATAAATTAAAATTACAACTTATTATTGATACAAATATATAAATTTATATAAAAAAAAAAAAAAACTTACCCTGCATCCCATAAGTCGATAGAGTAATTGTTGTAAAGCAGGAAGTTGTTCCAATAATTCTTCACTTTCTAAATCCCTTGTTCTGCTATAACCCTGCACTTATTATTATTTAAATTATTATTATTATTAATATTATATAAGATAATAATAAAATGTAAAAAAATATACCTTATTCTCTTGACCTTGAGCAAGTCTTGGGATTTTTTCAGCTTCAATATCATATTTCAAAACTCTAAAACATTCAAGTCTTTCTTCTAAGAAAAGTCCATATGTACGTACCCAAGCAGAACAATCCCAAGCTGTAAAATTTTATAAAAATAAAAAATAAAAATCAAGAACTACTTAAAACATTTTAAAGATTCGAATTATAAGTTGAAAACAGATCAAAAAAGATACCAATAGGGCTTGAATCATCTTTGAAATTAGCAAGTTGAAGAACACGCCCTCTTTGTTGAAAATTTACAAGTTCTTCCCTGAAAGTTGGATCACCTTCCCTTAGTGTCCTATGGATAACTATCAGTGTCTTTAAAGCCACCTGATAAGAAACAAAAAGATTTAGATGCAGAAAATCGCAAAGTACTTTCATTGATTTGTTTATGATGACATGATTAACTTGATTCATCAAGTAGAAGAAGAGAATTGCATGGATGTTGTAACGAAAATCAGTTATTACATATGGTTTTATCATTTCTGAAAATCGTTATGATTCCTATCGATGTAATAGTTGAAGCATAGTAAGAGTAAACCCTATCAATGGAATCTATAGCCATGATTCAAGTTATATAAATGAAAACGAAATCAATACAGGAAGATTTTCACAAAACCCTAACTTCGCAATCAACGACAACAAAGAGGAAAACTTGAAAACATTACCGTCCAATTACGAGTTTTAGCCAATCTCCTTGCTAGGGCATGTAAACAGTATTGTACATCCGCTCGAGGACGAACAGCAGAAGTATACGCCAAAATTTCTGGAAAAATAAAACCGACATGTTCAACATTTTGCCATGGAAATGATAAGAATCGTTGATTGGGGAAAGGGAAGATGAAATCACTCACTTCTGATGTGTCTCTCTTTGGGTGGGCACTCAACATGATTGGTAGCTTTAACGATCGCAACATCCACATCCTAAATCACACACAAAATCCAAACCCTATTTATAGATAGAATCACAGAACGATAGATACACGAAAATTTGTTTGAACGATTGCGAAGAAATATAGGGGGGAAGACCTTGAAATCGCTATTGACGTGGGCTAATCCGACTTTGGTTTGATCTTTGAGAGCACCATAGGCTTTCCGCCATGTTTGCATAGTACCCATCTTATCTCGATTGATCGAACGGTGTTGCCGATAGATCGCCAAGTATTTCGATCGATTTTCGGACACAGAATTACAGACTTTGAACAGACCTTTCTTCTCTCTTGTGACAAGGAATCCAAAGAAGACAACTGCACATTGAACAGCAAAATTAGGCTGTTACTATTCTCTCTCTCTCTCTCTCCCTTTTTCTGTATATTCGAATACTTTATTTGTGATTGTGGCGAATGTGGTCAACTTGGTTGGCTATGGCGGCCACCGTCATCATGATCGGGTCTTTTTTTTTTTATTCTTTTAGATAATATATTTGTATATCATTTTGACATTATAATATTGGGATTTTTTGTGTTTATTTTTTTATTTTTTTTGAAGAATGTGTTTATTTATTTTTATTGATTATTGATATCATACCATGTGTGTTGTTTATTAAGATGATTCTTCTTACATGTGCGTATCGTAGTAAGAAATTAACTTTATTTGATCTTTGATACTTTGGGTTAGATTTTGAAAATCTTTTTGAAGCTTGGATGATGAATTCTAATATAATGTTTGATGTTATGTGATATACATATGGATTAAATGATTATTTTATAAAAATTAAAACGAGTATCTTTGTTTAGTGGTAATAATAGGACTCTATAGGCAAAGAATACAATTGCTAACATGTTGGAAAATAATTCGATTATATACGTCTTTGGACCATTTATGTAATTAATTAAGTTTACAAGGTATAATTATTATTTTGTACCTTAAGGTTTGCCTAAATGACTACTTAGGTTTCATATTTATGTCTTGTATTAATTAATGTGATTAAATGTAATAATAAAGACATGAGGGGCCTAATGTGGATTTCCCCAGAGATGCATTTCATAAACATGCGATCAATTTTAAAAGAGCACAGGTTTCTTGATTTTTCTCTCCATAACAACACCCTAACAATCCTAATTGATCGTCTAATCCTCTCCATCGTAAGAGTGCATCGTCTTGTTGAATAATTGATCATAAGGCAATGAGGACGAAGGGATTGACATCATTCTCCATCGGATACGTTCTTATCTTGATCATCATTCTATCACTATGAAATTGTGTTGAATTTGTTGAGAAATCGATCAATATGACCATTAAGGTGTTGTTTGTTTTTCTTAAAAAACATCTTCAAAACTCTTATTGCTGCGCAGCGCAGCACACGCGCAGCACTTTTTGTCCCTGTTTTTCAGAAGTCTTCGGGGCTTAAAACCTCTGCCCGTATGCTTCTTGGGGAAGCACTTGTTGTACCTCTTCCCACCCTTCAAACCTAAACCTTAAAAAATCCAATCCGAAAAAACAATCGGCCATTTTTTTTCCAAAAATCTAACAATGACGTGTCTTGTTTTTTAAATAAGTGTCCATGAAGTATATTTAATATTACGTTTATGGTCCTTTACTTATATACTATATTCTATTTTCACCCCTTTGACATTTAATACATTAAATTTATATCCTTTTATACTGTTTTCTTCCATTTGATTTACATAAGTTAATTCATTAAAATTTTGCTTTTTAAATTAGTTTATTTTCAATTTTTAATGACTGCAGATGTTAACAAAAACAAACACGCTTCTTATTACAGCCTGCAGCCGTTTGGTCCACCTCTTCTGCTGCAGAGGTTTGCAGAGGTGGTCCGCAGACTTTTTGAATTTTTGCTTCGGAAAAACAAACAGCACCTAATTCTCCACATAACAAACTTTAAAAACAAATAGAAGAGCAAGAGTGAACCATAGATGCAATTCTCATTAATGTTTGATTGTAACATATGTTTCCCTTGATTGACCAATTGATGATATAAAGGATTTAAATGCATGTTTTTTTAGGAAAACCATATGCCACGACGTGACATGAAGGGTGTCACGACGTGGCATGGCAATTGAAGATCATCTGCCTCTAATGGGCGCCACGACGTGGCATGAAGGGTGTCACAACATAGTGAACGTTGCAGCCAAGTCCATGATTTTTTTAGGGTTTCTTCCATATTTAAAGTCATTAACTCATTATCCAGGGCATCCTCTTTAGCATCCAACTTCCTTTAACAAAACCCTAGCCCCCATTTCATGTTTGTGTGCTTGTTTGATTGATTGGAGGTCTTGTTCTTAGCTTTTGGTGAAACCTGAAGAATAAGGAAGCTCATTGCGGTGCAAGGAAGCAAGGAGCTAACTTGGATCACTCACTCCCTTCAGATTCTGGCGTTATTGGAGGTATAAAGTTCACATCTTGACCTTTGTTCTTCTTGATTCAAGTTTGGGCTAATTTAGATGATTTTGGTCCCTTCCATGAATGCTCTTGGAGTTTGACGAACTCCAGGCCTTGTTGTGACTCTCAATTGGTCCTTAGGTTTCTGAGAATGAGAAAAGAGCCATGATTGAAGCTATTTTGGGTCCATGAGCAAGTTAGGGTCATATTAAGGAGTTAATGGACTTAAGGTTGTAGATCTAGCTTTGGGATGGAGTCCTAATGGATAAAGTTGGAAACGTTATTCATTAAGTCGGTAAAAAGAACTAGATATGAGGTTATGGGCCTTGATCTGAAGGAATTAAGCACTTAATGAAGATTTTATCATTTTACCAGAAGCTACGACGTGACGGTGCTCAGAATCGCAATTGTTTTTTCCTTGCTTTCTCACGACATGGCGCATGGTTTGTCACGTCGTGGAGTTGGCTTTGATTAGGTTAACCGTTAACTTTTTGGACCTTTGTTCGTTAACTTTTGACCAATTTGACTTGGAGTCAAACTTGGAGGATTTAGGTTGCTGATTGAGGATTTATCTGTCCCGGTGTTAGTTGGTTCGAGGGATTAATCGGTGCAAGGGTTAGAGTGTTGATGTGCTTCCCCAGTTCTGCAATTCAGGTGAGTTTTTCACTATATCATGTATCATATTTGTATATCCTTTGCATGGTAGGATAAAGATAACGTTAGAGTACAAGCATGTTAATGGCCTAGGGTAAGTTCTTATTATGCCTTGCAATTTGGAACACTTGATGTTTTAGTATGTTAGACCGGTGCGGTCTTGACCGTTGATCGTATGATTCTGTTAGAAGTTATATTGGTTAGGATGACTGGGGTAGACCGGATATGAAGATTATGTAGGAATAACCAGCAAATGACTTAATTGAGAAGTGGTTACTGGCAGGGTAACTAGGGAAGGCTAGTTGCTAAGGGAATGCATTATGTGAGTATAGGCATGTATTTGTGATATATGATTATGTGGTAGTGATAGCTTGGGTATTATGTGGTCTAAGTTAGATAGCCTGAGAACTCTTGGTCTAATATCTGATTGGGATGTTCTTATTTGATTGTTCACTCTTGGGTGGATCATATGTTCGACTGTCTATCTGATCCATGACTGTATATGACTTTATGTCTCGTATGGAAGACCCGAAGGTGGCTCCTGACAGTGGAGGTTGGGTTGGGACCATTTACTCCTTGGGTGGGGCCTGTTATGTATAGTTGGGTGGGGCATGTTATGTATGGTTGGGCAGAGCCAATTATGTTGGGTTCATGAACTCTTAGGTTGGGCCTGTTATGTAAGATATATGTATGTGGCTAGGAGATTTGGTTGCTCGGTGCTAGAGCTGAGATCTTGTGTGGATACATTGAATGTATGATGGAATATATGGTATATTGGGGAACTCACTAAGCTTTATGCTTCTAGTTGTGAATTAAACATTTTGCATGTAACATCTTAAAATCATAGTAAAAAATTTCATTTTCAAAACCATTTAATAATCCGTAAATCATGTGAAACATTGTTTCCAAAAAAAAAAGCCAACTCATAAATCAGGGTATCCCAAAATCATCTATTAGTAAAATGTTTAAGCATGATGTGCACAATCACGCATTTGTCTTGCCCTGATCATATGATGTACCTGAAACCATGAAATAAAATTGTAAACCAAAGCTTAATGAGTTTCTCCCAAATACCCCACACAATAATGTAATAACAATTATAATACATGCATATAGGGTTTGTTGGCCTGTGACCTCAACCCAACCCACCAGGCTTTGTTAGCATATTGCCTCAACCCAACCATACAGGGTTTGTTGGCATATCGCCTCAACCCAACCATCCAGGGTTTGTTGGCCTCCAGCCTCAACCAAACCACTAATATGTCGACATATGCAACTGATAAACAATAATCAGTAAATACAAGTAATCAAACATATCTACCAATCTAACATGTCACTCCAACATAATAACACCCTATATACCAAGATACATAACATAACCTGGTAGGATGGCATTGGTGTCTTTGACCCACAAATATAGTGAGGAAAACTCACCTCAAAGTTCGAAAGATAGCTAAACTGATCACTACTCCAGATACTAGCTCTACATGTCACTTATACAACAAACAGGGACCAAGCCTCAATCTACTACTCAACATACCCTAAATGACCTAAAGTCAAATTAGGTCAAAGTCAACGGTCAACAATCAAAAAGTCAAAAGTCAACATTCAGCCAGGTTACGCCATACGTAACAGCTCTACGCCCTGCGTAGAGCCTAAGACATCCAAAACGAACAGTTATAGGGCTACAAGCTGCGTAACTACGTTGGTGCCAAAACTTCCCATTAAGTGTTAATACAAAAAGACACCATGTCTAACTCTCATATCTAGTCTAAATAAATATCCTAAGTGTTAAAGTTCCAAACTTTATGCATTAGCATGGCTTACCAAGGCTGAAGGACGAACCCTGATCTCCTGACAACTTATAAAGACCAAAAACTCATGCATTGATTATTGGAGATGGCCAAGATCCCATTTTTATGACTTAATATCCTCAAATACATCTATGCATTAAAATTTCCCGTTTTTGCTATCTGACTCTCATTGATTCGACCCACATCCCCATGATGTGGTCCTAGCAAGAATAGAAAACGATTTGAACGCAATAAAGGTCACATACAATAAACTTACGAACTCCTTGTTGTTCAGCTCATTGCGCTGGCTGGATAACTCTCACATTTTCGCCGGCTCTAGACGATATGGAGATTTAGCTATAAGAGTAATTCCGGGGATCAAGTCGATACGGGATTCAACTTGACACTCGGAAGAAATCCCTGGAATATCTTTGGGGAAGTTATCAGGAAGGTTGAAGACTTCGGGGATGCTCTCGAGGTCTTTAAATTTTTGCGTCTCATCAACCACATGAGCCAGGAATGCATGGCATCCCTTTCGCAGATACTTT